TATTTTCCTTTATATATATATATATATATATATGTGAATATTTAATGAAATAAAAAATCATGTCATAACTATATCATTTTTCAATTTTTTCCCCTACACAGTATTAACTTATAAAAATAAAACTTCAAAAAGAAAAAACAGAAAGGCAGGCTTTAGGCTTTACAAAAGTTAGTAGCTTATTGGGCTACAATTTGAAAAATTGTAGACCTAAAAATTTCCACTGTCATCCATTCTGCCTGTCTGTCCTTCCTTCATCTTGAGAACGATATTAGATAGACAAAAGTTGAGACCAGATACAAAAAGCTTAGGAGAGGAGGCCCTGAGTAATTATACAAGAACTTCTGGTCTAGACTGGAGGTCAGGTGATTTCAATTCAAAAACTTCCCCAGAACAGAGTAACATAAATGACCAGCATGACACTATTATTATCAGGAAAAGTATGATGTACAGCAGCAAGACACTACTAATCTGAGATTGATAGCATATATTTTAAAAATTGCAGTCCTGCATTGTGACAATGTCACAATAATTTTTTTTGGTTAATTTTTACAATATAACTTACAGGTTTATTATGTATTTTTTTAATTTAATTTTTTAATTTTTCCCAAATGGGAAAGTAAATTCCAAAACTCTGATTTACACAACTTTGATGCACTGTATTTGTATTTTTGACCAAATAGTAACTAAATATTTCTTATATTCTTTGTTGACATATTTATATTAAAGAAAAGAAATGTTTATAATATTTAATATGTATTGAGTTAAATTTTTAATTTCATTTGCAATTTTGCAGCAATAGCACTTCATTAACAAGATACTTCAGTTAAATTTAATGAGTAAATAGCAAAACTTGACACTATAATTTGATAAATTAAATTTAATTTAATAAAATAAATCATACTAGTGTTGAAAGAATTTTTTCCAAATTTCAAAGTTTTACATCTTTTCTTTTTCCCAACACTTTTTGATCTAACTTACAAAGGTTTTCAGCTCTGTTGATGGACTGTCTTCAGGTATATCAGAACCTTTTCAAAAACCAAAGTTTGAATGCAGAGTTGTTCTAAATTCAAAATTATCAAATGGAATTCAAAACATTAAGAACAGATGACAAGTAACCAATAAAAAATGTACACATTCTTGCCATAATATATTGCGTATAAGATACAGTCGACCCCCCTATAACATGGTAGATATGTTCCATTCTTTATGAATCGATTTCTTACGAGTCCTTGCCAATCACAGCCCAACACGTGTGAAGTTTACGGACTACAGCTGTTTGAGAGGTTTTCTTCCATAAAATTAATCGATTCTAGACTAATTTGACTCAACATTTCCAAAATACGTATATTTTTTTAAGGAATAATCCGTATAAACTACGCTATAAACAAAAAATTGTAGGATTACTTACCAAGTGTGCACCACTCGACATCGCCATTGCTCAAGCTTGTTTTCGTTGCGGAGCAACGAACCAAACCGCGGCCATGATTTCTGATAAGTTATTTTTCTGCGAAAACTTCGTTGAAATTTGGAGACATCATTAATATAAATAATTTTTATGGCCATTGAATAAGAAATGTTTCTTTCACAAGAAATGTATAAAAGTACAGTACTATATTAGACTTACGGTACCTAATTTACATACTGTACAGACGATAGTAAACAACTTACTCGCGTAAACTTTCCGTAGCGTGGCGCTGGATGGCGGAGAGTAGTTCAGCTGCCCGATGACATTTTACCAAATTATAGGAGTTTTTTTACCAGGTTTGTACAGATACTGTTGCAATTTTTTCGCCGTCTTATAGGAATCATAATTATAGGAACTCGTGTTATAGGGGGTCTACTGTAAATACATCTAGAACAATCCTGCATTTGAACTTTGGAAAAGGTTCTAATACAACAATATACCTAAAAGCCCATCAAGAGGGCCAAAAACATTTGTAACTTAAATCACAATAAAAACAATAAATAACTTTGAAGTTTTATCTTATTTCCCTGTTTTAAGTTTTAATTTTTTCATTTATATCAAATTATAGCATACAAATCTCTTTTTATAGTTAATCTTTGCACATTTATTTTAACTAGTATAAAACAATGCAAATAAATTTAAGGATTAATTTTTTAATGTTGTTTCATATCTTTTTATTGAAACATCTTTGAAACTAGCTTCATTTATTTTTATTTCTTTATTAAAAGAACTATTTAATTATAATCACTTAATCAAATACACATCAACATCTGGTGCACATAGAATCAAGTTTTTCATACTCTTGAGCATGTATAGCTTTTTGAATAGAATGTATGAAGGAAATTTCTGAAAAATAATTATATGCATTAAATCATCGTGAATGTTGATTTTGTGCAACTTGTTCATTAACATTTCAAGTTTTTCAGTCTTAATGCATTATAGTCATGCACTGTATCATTGCCAGACCTGTTACATATGTATAAGCAAATCAAAAGATACAAAATGGACTATTATAAAATGTACAGTAATGTCTGCAATATAATTCATAAAATTCATCAAATTTTGTGGAAAAACTTCTGAAATCAGGATTTTTGAAAATCTGAAACCACTATAAATGAATTTCTACTGTAGTTAAATATAATAACATTTACTGTCATATGTTAAAAAATAGAGTACCTTGTAGCAATACTAGGAGAGATGTATGGAAGATTTTCTGATACTATACCAATATATTGACAATATTCCACAGCTAATTGTATTTCCTATAACGTCATGTCTTCCAGAGCTATTTATCAGCATGAAAGTGTCAGGACTTTTACACAAAGATCCAAGAATCTCTGCCAAGTCTCCTTGGGGTTCATATCCTTCAGTATAGCAGTTGTGATATCTAACATAGTGGTGCTGTCACTTACAAAACAATCTAAGACAGTGTTTTTCAACCTTCTTGAATATGCAACCCCTTTACAAGTTAAAAAATTCTGGCGACCCCCCCAGGGCCATATTAAAACTATATCAGTGATTTTAAAAACTACATATTTAATCTTCTTTCTTTAAATATTGATCGAAAAACCAATTGTACTGTAAAATAAACAGGCACAGCCTTCCCACTGAAATTCTAGTTTTTTTTTTATTTTAGTGTAGGACCTACAAACACTTGTCTTTTTCTTTCACGCGCAACCCCCATGTAAGGCTTTGCGACCCCCCTGGGGTCGCGACCCACAGGTTGAAAAACACTGATCTAAGAGAATCATTTTAATTTGTATAATGGTTTGATTAGTGCTGGTCTTCAAAAAAAATTTAAAATTAATGTTTTTGTTTACAGTTGATGAATAAAACAGGATTCTCATAAAAAATTTTATACTTGTTTTTAGTGAAGAGCAAATGTTTACATCATCCTAGCCAGGTATATAATGCTCAAGAAGAGTTAAGTCTGGCTTGTGGTCAATGGATGCTTTATGTTCCTTCAAGTTCTGAGCATTCTAATTGTATCTCCCACATAGTATGTTATTTGCTTGCTTGATGAGTGTCTTAAGGAAATTGTATACACCCTGAATTTTTATATATAAGGACGTGATCCCAATTGTTGGAAAGAATATGATAACCAATGATGAGGATACTGTAGATGCCTGGCAGATGATACTTGTTGAGTCGGTCTTTAGCATTGTGGAGGAGTGAGGTTCTGCTATTTCCTAGAGCATTACAATTCTGTTTATAGGGATAAACAAGCACACCCAGTATTAAGTGGTATGGACCTTAAATAGGGAAATCCTAGTCAACTAGAACAATTCATTAATCCTTAAGAAATTGTTAGAAGCAGGTTCCATCAGGTTAATAGAACAATATTATATACAAACCTGTCATGGTCTCTTAATATAATTAATACCCAATATGCATTAACTTTGTACATAAGGTAGTCTGCCCTCAAACACCTGTGATATCTCCTCTCTGGTAAATAGGTTATTTACAAATTCCATCAACTTATTGACCAATCTAGTCCTTAGAAGTGTGCTTTTACAATAAAACCCCATTGTACTGTATCTGATTTTCATGTAAGTTATTAATATGCTTAAATTTTGTACATTTCTGCATTTCAAATGTATTAGAATCTATAATTGTGTAAAGCTTTTTGGTCTGATGCAGTCTAGTAACAATCAACATTATTTTTCCAAATTTCAGCTGATGCTATTCTCAGAGTAGAGTCGAAACATTTTCTAAATAGAAAAATCTCTTTTAGTAACCTGAACTAAGCATTTATTCTCTCATTGTGTATGTGTGTGTTTGTATATAATGAGAAAACAAATGCTAGTTCAAAATATCAAAAAATATTTTTTATTAATATATAGTTTTTTACTAAAACTTAAATTAAATTAATGGATGATCAAATGAAAAGATTACTTGATAGTAGTAGTATTTGACAATGTTATGAGCCAGCTACCCACTATGCATTGCAAGAAACAAATGTTCATCTTTCTACTACAAACTCAAAGGATAGCATTTCTAACACCTTGCTGGCATTGCCAAGCTTACTCCTTAAAAGTTCACCCATACAATAACAATCAAATAATTAAAAATTATCATTTTATATTTTCAAATCTCTATAAATCAAAATATATATGTGTCATCACTCAGACACCAAAATGTTATACGTTAAGATAAATTTCAGAATTTAATAACATATTTTTATAGTTGTATATCATAAAAAATGTTACATTATATTTAATTTAATCAATTTCATTTATATATTTAGTTGCCTCAGTTAAATTCAACTACAGAATATGATATTTAAAAATTATGGCCATTACTTTTCACGAACTGTGATTATTTTCAGTAAAACATAATTCATATATCAAACTCTTCATTACCCCAAAAATCTGGTTATTTGCTTGAAATATTATAAAACCAATGTTACTCACAAGTAAAACATTTTATAGGTGGCTTAAAGGGTTCAATTCTCGACCCATGTTCCGTTTAACATGACGTCAGACACCGAATCTTCCATCAAACAAAACGTCAACCACGTGTTCGTCGCCCTTACCTTTTTATGATGAGCATCGATCCAATATACATTCGGTTTCCTGTGCCTTACGATACCGCATTTAGTAACAATTACTTTATCCGATTCTCTTCTTAATCCCGGACCAAGAATCGTGTTTCTTAACTCGTCATTTTCGGATACGTCGAACAAAACATCACCCGGAATAACAACATTGCCGTCCATTACTGATCGCTAACCATGCCTTCTCGCTCGAGAAGGTGGCGCCCTCTTAATTTCAAGCATATTAACTTAAATTTATTTATTACTATTTTATTTTTTTAAATAATAATATAAAATAATTTATTAGAATTTAACAAGTAATAATATTATTGACAATAAAAAATTATTTAAGAAATTAAAATATTAATTTTAGGATTCTTTAATAACCATTTCTTCCGTCTTCTGTATGCCGATTATCAAAGATTTTTTCGAGGCAAGCGCAAACGATTTAATCTGTCTACGTGACATGGGATTAAAAAATAAGAAAGCATTCTCTTGAAATTATACAATATATTTTTTACAATTTCGCTTTTAAAATACTGTTTTGAATTAAGCTGATCAGATATATTTTAAATATTTTTCTTAAAATATGCATCATTTTAAGCCAGAGAGTAACTAATGATACTTAAAACCTCAATTAAATTTTTTTCAAATGAATAATTTAAAAGCTAAAAATGTCCTCAATTCATATATTTTATAATATTTAAGTCTAATCAGAATCAGATCTAATTTCACTAAAATAAAAAACATTTCTTTGAATCATTATCACGCGAAAATCAAAATTTCGCAATTGTTTAACAACTTAAAACCTATTTCATGTCGTCGCTCCCAATTTTAAATTACAGAATAAAAATAAAAATTTCTTTTTTTTCTGTTTACATTTTAAACTAAAGTTCTAGTCATTTTTCCTTTTTATAATTACAGCATTTGGAGATAAATCAGTTCTAATTATTTACGTCAATCTAGCTAGAGTATATTAGATCTTAGATTTTAAAAAAACACAGTAAAAGTATATAAAAAACAGACTAATCATCCTATTAATTATTTTCTTGAAGAAAGAAGAAAATAAAAAAATTAAGGGTTGAAAATTAAAAAAGATGATACTCTGGTAAAATCAAAGTAACAATCTATGTTACTACAAAAGGTATTGAAGTTATCCATCTTTTTATCAACTTAAATGACTTATCCAAAAGAGGGAGAAAAAATAAAAACAACGATAAATTACTCACCTGAATAATCGATTTTTACCTGCATTTAACTCTTAAATTGATATTAAAACAATTAAATTAATTATATACATGAATATAAATATATATATATATATGTATATGTATATGTATATGTATATACTGTATATATATATTAAATATATTTAGAAGGATAGTTGAGTATAATAAATTACGAATTCTAAAATGGCTGACATGTTTCGGAAGAGGAGTATTGAGAAAGAGAAAAGTCTTAAGTTAATGAAGTTAAAAAGACGAAACAGTAAATTTATTTCTTCTCTTCTTTTCTTTTTTTTCTTTTTTCTTGTTCCCCCTTTTCTCTTTCTCTTAGAACTAAACGGAAAAATCGAAAAATCGAGAAATGAAGCCATCTTGAAAAATGAAGGGTTCTTTCTAAACTACAGGTGTGAATTTCTATTCTAGAGCTTTCTTTCTTTTGGGAAATGACTAACTGACGATATTTTGGCTCTAAGCCAAAACCTTTCCTTTACAAAAAAATAAAATAAAAAAAAGAAAGAAAAAAATTGGGGAGGGGGTGAGTCAAGAACGATAGAAAATGAAAAGGAAGACCAGATTGGTTCAATTTAATAAGTAACAAAAATGAAGAAATTCTGTCGATAACAGTTGCATCTATAACTAGTCATTACTTAAATATAATTTTTTTTATTTTTTTTTATTTTTCTCCCCAAAATAAATAACCTTTTAATAAATCATAAAATATAAAAGAAAAATTTTTTTAATATCATTTTTCTTTAATTATTTAATCTTATATATATATTTTGGCATTCTTTTTTTTAAACCGCAATTTTTATATTATATTTTACATTATTCATTCTGTTAAAATTTGATAGCTGTTTACCGAATAAATTTTTTTAATACTTTAATACAGTCACCCCCATAACACGACCATCTCTAAACGGCGGCCATTTTTTCCAGGACATTTAACAAAATTGCATACAAAATAACCTCTCGATAACGACCATTTTTTAAATTCCCGTCAGTATCTGTTATTCACAGGTTTTACTGTATTAACATTATTTATTTATTTTTGTTTTTTTTTCTTTAAGTAAATCAATTTACTAAAACGTGGGCGCTGTTGTTGCAGCGAGTTGTGATTGGTCGTTTCAAATATAAATATGCAACATTTCTTTACCTGTAATGAATTACACGTTCATTTTTTTTTATAAATTTATATTTAAATTAATTATTTTTTAAAATGTTTGAATTTATAGATCCAATCAAATGATCTTAATTTATTGAGGCATGGTATTATCCATTACGGAATATAAATGAAAATGGTAATTGGTTAATAAATTACTGTACTTAAATTTACTTAAAATATTTGAAAGATTTTATAAAATTTATTTAATGTAAACTTTTTAAACTTAATTTTTTTAAATATTTAAACTTTTTATTAACCAATCACTAGTTAATATAAATTTGAAATATACAATTGAATTATAAACGTAATTTAATTAATCTATTTAAATTATAATTTATCACGATTATAGATAATAAACTGTTGGTGATTAGTTAATAAATAATGAATAATTTTAAAATGATTTAAATTAAAATATATATATATTAATTTAACAGATTGGTTAATGCGACATTTTTTGAATTCAAATCAACCAATTAACGATGATCATCTAAATCAGGCGTTATTGAGACGTTTTTTTTCGAATTTAAATCAACCAATAGAGATTATAATATCGGTATTTCAATTATAGGACGGGGTTTACGCCATATGGGACGTGTAATTCTTTAATAAAAATAGGAAAAATCAAATAAATACCAGAATTATTAAACAGTTGATCACCAGATTTTTTGTTTTTATTTGTACACTTGTCAAAAAACGTACAATACCATTATAACAGGACTGGTACTTAAAGTATCTCATATCAAACACTCCCTGCTAGGAGAATACATGAGATAACAATTGGAAATAACGATTTTTTTTTCTTCTCTGACTGAAAAAATCAACATTCACCACTGGACTGTGAAGATTAAAACATACTAACAAACGCGATGCTGTGTTCTGAAGGGGGCTGAAGGGATTGGTATGTGTTAGGATGGGGAAATGGGTTTATTAAGGAGAAGTTGTGGCCTCACAAACTATATGGCACATGAAACATTAACAGGATGATTCTGGAAGAATACGTTGGCCAACCCATGTCACCGATTTCTTAAGTGTATCTTGACCCATTGATTGATCAGGAGGCTCATTGCCACTTGATTCGCTGCTGCCACTCCCGAGGGCGACTGAAATAGAGGGATATATCACATTATTTTACTATTAATTGTCTTAACCATTTTTATTATCTTAAAGAGTTAGAGTAAATGGGTGGAACTAGATCTGAAACTTTTCATGTTCTTGATTACTTTGAATTGTTTATGACAAGTTACTAATAATTTATATGTGCTAGATTCCCAAGATTTCATATGTTCCAATTTTCGGGCATGTTTGCAAGCGCTATATGTGATCCATAAATAGGACAGTGTGCAGTTTTATATCATATTTCAAGGAATAATCATGGAAAAATCTGTGCTAGAAATTAGTATAAATTAAATTTCCTCGATGTATCGAAATATTTTCATAAACATTTATTTCTCTTTAAATTTTTCGATACTATATCTGACTCTATTAATTTGCTTTAAACCTCGAGAGTTTTCTAAGCTAATCAATTAGAATGATTAGATTATAGACAATACTTTTGTTTATTATTTTCTTCCAACTGTACTCAAAGTTGTACAAATATTCAAAATTAAAAGGCAGTTCGATACTCGTAAAGCAGACAAAGTTAATTCCCATTAGCACTTAGTTTATTCTCGTTTCAAGTATCGGATTTCGATTAATTTTCTTTTAATTTATGGTCCTATTATAAAAATATCGATATCATCTTCTACTCCTGGTAATCCTTATTATAAAATACAACTTGGGAATATCGTATTTTGCGTTTCGCTTAACTAAAACGATGAATAAACCGAATAATCGAATTTTATATCAATATTTTTTTGACCCTTTCTTTATAAATAATTCTTTTGATAACATATTAAAAATATATACTTGTTTACATATCTAACAAGTAACTTACCTCTTTTGGCTGGCCAAATTTCTAACAGAAAAGCGAAGACTTCAATGGTCTTTCGAAGATTTATAACTGGAGCACCCGTCTCGGTATGACACATAACGACAGGTCCGAAACATTGTGACAGATTTTGAGGATTCATCTTATTTCGATCGCTGTGGGTTGTCACTAGTTTCAAATGATCCATCAGAAAGAGCACCGTGCACTACAAAATCAAAAAAATTGTACATATTCTTCTTAATAAATTAATTTCTCGTTTTGCTGTAATATACATACATACATACCATACTTTTTTTCTATAAAATGCATTTAAATTTCATATTGTAGTAATTTATTAATTAAGAATCTTTTCTATTGTAAATAATTTTAATTATTTTCCATTTTCACACCCTGATAAGCTCGGGAATTTACCTCTAAGGCTACTAAACTATCCATTGTTATTCTAATAACTTAAATTAGCTTTGGAATATTTTAAGATTTTCAAAATTCTCTTTAGCTTAAACATGAATAACGGATATATTTATGATCTTGAATATTGAAAATTTTACGAAAAATAATTTATATATTTTCCAAATTCAAAAAATAAAAATAATCTCTATGCAATATATAAATATGCCAGTGAAATTACTAATAATATAAAATATTATAGATAGATTTTGCTGTGTTATGGCTCATAGTGATTATATATTGTTATTATTATGATAAATAATATTTACATTTTAACATGGAATAATTTTCGAAGCGAAGAAAATTTTACAGAATTTACAAAAGGCCATAAATTAGCTTTCGTTTAGATATTATACAAATTTCTAAATATGCAAAACAATTCTGCATTGATGCACAGGAGAATTTTATAGAAAAATTTTAAGAAAAATCATTAAAATTTAAAATATTTTAAAAAATTGAACAAAGTTATAAAGACGAGTTTTTCATGCGATGGACACGGTTTATAAATATTTTAAATTGTTTTATACGTTAAACAATATTTAAAAACAAGAAAAATTGAGATTATTTCCCGGGAAAACTATAAATGTTTTTTGCGCAACTTTATGAAAAAGTTTGACCAATAAAAAAATGAAGTTTATTAATAAACAAAAAGAGAATTTTCGATATTAAATATAATTTCAATCAGGCTTACCCGATTTACTTTGGGCAAACAGTCGAGGATACTGAACATTAATTTGGCATTGCCTTCAGGATCGTCTGGTAAACAGACGGATAAACCATCGACTAACATGTCAAATAAACCTTTGGTAAAAAGGGGTTCTGGCAATTCGCGAAGATAATCTTTTAATAAACCTGAAAAAAAGAAGTAGAGAGAAAAATAAAAAATTTAAATAAATATAAAAAAATGTAATAATTCGTATTAAATTTTAATTATAAATATATTTTTTAAATATAAGAAACAATTGATTTAACTTTATTTAAAATTTTTCGAAAAACGATTCAATTATGTAATGATTCAGTTTTTGATTCCGTCCGCTAGGGGTACGGAAATTTTGGAAAGTTGCCAGACATTGATTTGGTCACGTGACGGGACGAGTGGTAACCTGAAGCAGCCGCGATTTTTTTCCTTTATTTTTACTTTTCTTATGTGTGTGTGTGTGTGTGTATATATATATATAAAACCGCCTACCGGAAAGAGAAGTGTTTCCCTGTGTTAATTTTTTACAATAATGTTTATTTTTTTTCATTATAAAAGAGTCTAATAAAACTATTTTTAAGGCCATAAAATAAAATATTAAAGAAAAGTAAACCAATAAAATACTATTTTTAGGGTTTAAGGAGTAATCTTTGAGCTAAATACGTGTCTGGTTTAAAATCTTAGGGATTTTTTTCTTTCAAGTATAATTGATTATCCTTTAGAAATTTCGTATTATTCGCTTTTCGAGTTATTCCTGTTCTTCGGGTTTAATGAACTGTTAACGTTAAGTTTCTTCTTTTTCTCAAAAATATATCAGAATTTTTTCGCTCTAGAAAATATTAAAATGAATTTTTACTGGTATTAATCTTTCATGATGATGATGATAAGCGATATTTTATGTCGATTTATTTCTTTTCTGGCGTTTTTTTCCCTACGTTATAGTATCAATAAGATTTCGCTTATTATATGAATTCCCTATCGAAAAAACTCTTGCATTAAGGAATTACAAATTGCATAATGATGAAAATTTGTAGCAAGGTAATAAATTTACTGATAAATAATCGTGGAAATTTTGAAGTATATCGGTTCTGTGGTTTTCGATTTTATTTCATTTTAAAACTATATTTATATATATTAAAGGGCGCGGGTGTTTGGCACACACGATTCCGATGAATGTTTAATAGTAACTTACTGGTCACGACGTTAATATCGGGAACGTGTTCGGCAGAAAGGTCAACCAAAACTGCATTCCGTTCGAAGCCATCACGTAGAATCTTCTTCCTGACAGCAGATCCACACAGTCGATATATACCGACGATATCGAGCCCCCTTTTTTCCACTTCTTCTACACATCGCTTGATAATGAGTGGTACACCAAAACCCGAATTTTCTCTTAATATTATCGTTTCTAAATCGATGCCAAATACACCTGTATCAGTTAAAGGCGGTATACGTTGAAATGTCTGTCGTGGATCACGATAACGTAACTTGAGGTAGAGAGTACCACGGGGTTCGAGTCTCAGCGCTAAACTGTGTACTGGAGATTCTCTTAAAAGTGTTAGAAGATGAATTGTGCCTTTATAGCACAGTTTGTGTCTATATTGTGGATCCCAGCTGTACAACAAAAATGCTATTTCACTGTTGTCTACTAAATCCAATTCGAACATTTCGTCCCAATCGAAGCTGTGTTCGCCAGGTCTAACACCTGTCCTGGCTTTATGTACTCGATCGCATTCGATCACACAATATAAATCTCGAAAATGGTCGCTGTGACTCGTAGGCCGGAGTCCTCGTCCCCCTAAAAGATGAACCCATAGAAGACCACTAAAACCGTCTGTTCGAAGTACGGCTTCGCTATCTTTCTCGGGTTTATATTTAAAAAACTCTCTAGGATTTAAAGTTAGTAGATGAAGTCTGTCTTCCGGTGCCAACGGGGTGGGATGTGGAACTTGCCTCCAGAATTCCAAGGGGTAAGAGTGGGTTAGAGGGTCTGTAGGAATTCTTAGAAGAGATCTGCGTGGAAGAAAATCTGTCGTGTATGCTGAGCGTTGTTCCTCCTGTAAAAGAGATTAGAAAAATCAATTTTGAGTGAATGTACTCTAAGCTATTATAACATAAAAATAGCTAAATATGGAATCAAAATCGATTGCTGACTTAATTAGAACATTCTTTCGATCCGGATTTGCTAAGATTAAAATTGTGAATATTTAACCGACTTTAATTTTCTAGGAACAAACATCTTTTAAACAAAATCGGATCTCTTCTTATCATAATTATGTTTAGATGGTGTCAAACATGAACTTTACACTATTCCATAATAACTAAATAAGTTAGAAATACATGTTTAACAGCAAGGAGATCAAGTTAAGTATAACTTTTTAAACAAATTTAGTAAATTGTTAAGGGTTTGATGACACAACCGCATCAAAAGTTTATTGTTTCAATTAATGTTTAATAGATTAATGGAGAATTTCCAAAAAACATTTTTTCCTCCTTCCAAAACTTAATCCACTCACTCGAAAACGAATGAATATTCAAGAGAGATTACTTCATTTTCGAAATTAATCCCAGTAAAAGAATAAAACAATTAATCCCTTAAATTCGGGCATTTGCTTGTAACAAATTCCTGTTAATGATTAAAACAACTCATAGCAAATCTATGCTATTGTGTGAACCTCTCACCTTTCTCAGCGTGTCCAACAAACTTTCGGCGCTGTGGGCAATACGAGGAAGGTGCCGAATTCCCTTCCCTCTTCTTACACGATCGTATATTGCTGATGTAGAAGGTGTTCGGCTCAACCAGGAACGATATTCCATCGAAGTAAATACATTTGGTGATGTGCCGTGTAGACCTGAATGGAATATAAAAAAACGTTTCATAAGAAGGAAAAAAGTCGTTTAGGGGGTTTGAATAAGGAAATCGCCATTAATTCTTGCTAAATATGTAAAAATAACTCTGAAAAGTAACGAATTCTATCAGTTTTCTAATAGGAACGAATTTTGGCACGTTGCCAAAAAATCTGCCATCAAGTAAATTGGCTAAAGAATGACCTTACTTTAGTGTATCTGCTAGGAACATTATGTGTAGCATCATACGTATATATATTCCAGCTTACTATATATAAATATAAATAAATACATCCATATATTATGCTGGAAATTAAAGCATAAACACTCACCTCCTCCTCTTCTAACAGATTTAGATAATGGAAGCTCTGGAGCGGATACGGCACCATCACTATCTTCTTGCGAATCGTAAGGCAGGGTCGTCTTCTCGAACCTGACTGACTGCCTATGTCTACGATCCTGAACAGAAGCACGTGGCAGTGAGTTGCTCCGACCGTGACTATATCTCCTGGGTGGTGCAGCCCTACCGAGACTTCTCTGTCTCGTCAGGAAGTAGTCTTTGGCACCACCCGATTGCACTTCGGTATCGGAAGCGCTTTCGATTACCGATCGGCGACGAAGGATGCCAACGTGTTGAGGAACATCTTCGTATCGCCTTACCCTCCCACGGTGTTGCATAGATAAAGGGCCCCTAAAAGTGGGTCGGAGAGTGCGAGACGTATACCTATCGTAAGTTTCATCCCCCAGGCTGGGTATTCTCTGCTCGCTTTCCGTGCGTAGCAGACGGGATCTTCTAAGAGATGAACTGTATTCGTCCCAGTAACGATGTCTGGCAGTGGTGCTGCGTTCTGGTCTCTGGTATATAAGGGAGTGCGACGGGTACCTGGTCCTTCTGGCTTCGGTGGATGGGTGCCGAGTCGGGGGACCGTAAAATGTGTGCACCTGTTCGGCTAGGCTCTCGAGCGTCTTTGGATAGCGTGGATGCGTTTTGGGTTGCGCTGTTACCACTGAGGGCGGTGGATGGATTTTTCCCATCCTTCTTGTCCACATTTGTTCATCCAAACGGGTTTCTGGCAGTTTAGCTATGCGATGACCACGTGGTTGTGAATTATAATAAAGGTCCTCGTGGCACACCGGATGAGGTTCTGTACCGACCAGCGAAACAGCCACAGCTGGGATGTCGGCCGGAAGTCCTTTAGTGCGTGCCCTGATTAGTGCACCGTTTTCACTATTACTGTTCATGTCGTCCATGATATCTTCCTGGACTTCTTTCTTCATAACCACTATGGGAGGTCTCACTTCCAAAGCACTTTTGCGAGCAGCAGCAGCGGCGGATGCTTTGCCACAGATTCTCGAACGTATGGTCAATACTAGCCTTCTAGGTATCGACATGATGATTACCACATCGTCTAAACTCATTCTTCTAACATCAACGAGATTAACAGCTAAGATTTCATCACCCACTTTTAATAATCCACTATTATAAACGGCACTTTCCAGTGCAATGCGTGATATGAATACTCCTTCGTTACAACGGATACCATCACCTTCTCGTATATATAAACCAAGGGTCTGTCCTGGTCTTTTGATTATCTCAACAAACTGTACTATGTGTGTGCTATCGGCTGCACATAGATACTTTTTACAAGCTTCAGCTCCTGCTCGACCCAGTGTGCATGGGTCGAGAAGTCTTATGATCATTTCACCTCGCTTCTCAACAGCTTCCAAGTGAGCAGCCGTTGTAGCATCAAAGTCATTCTCCACAGCCTCTATCTGACGAAAGATTTCATTCGAAATACCGCTAACTTTACGAAAATCACTCTGAATCACCATCTCTGGCATATGACCATGTGCAATTCGACTACGAGAGGGTCCTGCTCTTCTTGCGCTCCCTTCAGCAAATGCCTGAGATTCCACGGCTTCCCTTGATTCCTAAAGTAAAAACATTACAAAAAATAAACTTTCAATGTTCATTTACATGTAAAATAACTTGAATTTTGTTCAAGTTGCCTTTTTAAGAAACTTTTTAAGCTTAGAATAAAGAATTTCACTAAGGATCTCAACTCGAGAGCCTGAGGTCCTTTGAAACTTTTATATGTATTTATATGAGAATATTTTATATGAAACAATTTTTTAAAATTGCTTCATATAAAATATCATAAGAAGTGAATTTTAACAACATTGAAATATATTATTTTTTGTAATTTTCCTAGAGATCATTCGATAAATTTTCCATTGGAGCATCAGATAAATTTCAAAATTACTAGAAAATTTTCAAATTTTTCAATAAATACTTTTAATTTTTGACCAAACACAACATAAAATAAAGCAATATTAAATTATATATATTTAATATACCATTCATTTACTTTTTCCAGCAAATTTATCGAAAATTTCAATAAATTTCTTAAAGAAAACACCATGCTACAGTAACATTCTGGTATCATCCTAGTTTAATAAAACAGCATATGAGCCAATTTAAAATCTTATAAAATGCAAGAACATTCATACTTAAAAATTTCTTATAAAGGCACAATAAACTTTAAGATTCTACATCATTTCTCTTACATCTCATTAAAATCGTAGCTACGTTATGATGTCAATTTTTGATATATTTTTTATTATTATAATAATTATTATTTTTTTAAAGAAAGAGTGTACATAATTTTGCGAACATAATAGTTTTTAAACTAATATCTATATAAATTATGAAACAGAAATTTATTTTACCTTTTTGCGCCCACAGCAAAGCATGGTAGAATTAATTATGTGCTTCACCTTTTTTGGCAGACGCGGTGGTTGGGCAAGCGAGGTCATGTGTGCAGAATTATGGCGTCTGTTTTACATCAGATAGGTCACCTGAATATGTAAATGAAGTAAAACTATGCTGAAGAAGAATTATGTAAGGATGACTGATGAAACATAGACTGACCGCTCTCAAACATTGATCAAAACGTTGCACGATCGACCATACATCAAATATTAAAAATAACCCGAGAAAATTTATTAATAATATATTATTTTTAAGATGAAAATGCACAGGTTTTTTAAAANGTATATATGTGTATATGTATATGTATATGTATATACTGTATATATATATTAAATATATTTAGAAGGATAGTTGAGTATAATAAATTACGAATTCTAAAATGGCTGACATGTTTCGGAAGAGGAGTATTGAGAAAGAGAAAAGTCTTAAGTTAATGAAGTTAAAAAGACGAAACAGTAAATTTATTTCTTCTCTTCTTTTCTTTTTTTTTTTCTTTTTTCTTGTTCCCCCTTTTCTCTTTCTCTTAGAACTAAACGGAAAAATCGAAAAATCGAGAAATGAAGCCATCTTGAAAAATGAAGGGTTCTTTCTAAACTACAGGTGTGAATTTCTATTCTAGAGCTTTCTTTCTTTTGGGAAATGACTAACTGACGATATTTTGGCTCTAAGCCAAAACCTTTCCTTTACAAAAAAATAAAATAAAAAAAAGAAAGAAAAAAATTGGGGAGGGGGTGAGTCAAGAACGATAGAAAATGAAAAGGAAGACCAGATTGGTTCAATTTAATAAGTAACAAAAATGAAGAAATTCTGTCGATAACAGTTGCATCTATAACTAGTCATTACTTAAATATAATTTTTTTTATTTTTTTTTATTTTTCTCCCCAAAATAAATAACCTTTTAATAAATCATAAAATATAAAAGAAAAATTTTTTAATATCATTTTTCTTTAATTATTTAATCTTATATATATATTTTGGCATTCTTTTTTTTAAACCGCAATTTTTATATTATATTTTACATTATTCATTCTGTTAAAATTTGATAGCTGTTTACCGAATAAATTTTTTTAATACTTTAATACAGTCACCCCCATAACACGACCATCTCTAAACGGCGGCCATTTTTTCCAGGACATTTAACAAAATTGCATACAAAATAACCTCTCGATAACGACCATTTTTTAAATTCCCGTCAGTATCTGTTATTCACAGGTTTTACTGTATTAACATTATTTATTTATTTTTGTTTTTTTTTCTTTAAGTAAATCAATTTACTAAAACGTGGGCGCTGTTGTTGCAGCGAGTTGTGATTTTACTTTTCACGAACTGTGATTATTTTCAGTAAAACATAATTCATATATCAAACTCTTCATTACCCCAAAAATCTGGTTATTTGCTTGAAATATTATAAAACCAATGTTACTCACAAGTAAAACATTTTATAGGTGGCTTAAAGGGTTCAATTCTCGACCCATGTTCCGTTTAACATGACGTCAGACACCGAATCTTCCATCAAACAAAACGTCAACCACGTGTTCGTCGCCCTTACCTTTTTATGATGAGCATCGATCCAATATACATTCGGTTTCCTGTGCCTTACGATACCGCATTTAGTAACAATTACTTTATCCGATTCTCTTCTTAATCCCGGACCAAGAATCGTGTTTCTTAACTCGTCATTTTCGGATACGTCGAACAAAACATCACCCGGAATAACAACATTGCCGTCCATTACTGATCGCTAACCATGCCTTCTCGCTCGAGAAGGTGGCGCCCTCTTAATTTCAAGCATATTAACTTAAATTTATTTATTACTATTTTATTTTTTTAAATAATAATATAAAATAATTTATTAGAATTTAACAAGTAATAATATTATTGACAATAAAAAATTATTTAAGAAATTAAAATATTAATTTTAGGATTCTTTAATAACCATTTCTTCCGTCTTCTGTATGCCGATTATCAAAGATTTTTTCGAGGCAAGCGCAAACGATTTAATCTGTCTACGTGACATGGGATTAAAAAATAAGAAAGCATTCTCTTGAAATTATACAATATATTTTTTACAATTTCGCNAAATGAAAATGAGCGTGAGCATATTCGAAACGTTTTCAAATTCAAAATTTCGAAATTGTCTTGATAATTTCAAACGTAAGAGGGCGTAATTAAATATATAATTTAAATATTTCATTAAGTGTTGCCATATCGGAAAAAAAGCGAATAAATTCTTTTATCTTATTTTTATTTAAGTCAAAACCGTATAATCGGATAAAAATGCGAAACGGCATATCTGTTACCCAGCACAGGATGAGAATTTTATAAATACTTAAATTACGAGAACAGGAAAGACAGTTTTACTGTAAGGAGGATATATCAGCGAAAGTATTCTTCCTCCTATCAGCGAAATTCATACAAATTCCCTAATTTACTTCAGATAATCAAAAAAATATATATATATTCTTAAAACCGTACACAAATTATAGCACTTGTTTGGCTTTCAAGGGCCTATTATTACTTTAAAAAAATAAAATTTAATCTATAAAAACACTTCATAATTTATGTAAATTTGCTTATTCAGTTTACAATAAATTAAGACAAAACAACGTTAAATTTTAACTCGTAGACAATTTTGTCTGGGCTGTCTGGAGCTACCCTAGCATTAAATGCGATCATATTAAGTTAAAATACAGGCACACTAGACACTTTCCTGTACCTTCTAAATATATCATTTTCCTGTTTGACTTTTTCTAAAAATTTAACCATGCTTACCATGCCTAAACAAAAATATCTTGATTACATTACAAGAGTAAAATTTACAAATATGCACATTAATAATTTAACGTTTCAACTGTAATATAATCGAAAACTATGCATCGAATGAATGAGAAAATCTAAACTTTTAACAGCATCCGTCTTAATTAACACATAACCAAAGGCTATAATTTATCTGAAATGTTCCTTCCCCCAGTTTGCAAATCACAGTTAATGTTTCAAGTGAGACGAAAGCGTAGAGAAAATTCTCCAACTGAGAGAGAAGGAAAGAGACAGAGAAGCATTAACTTCAATCAATAAATTTGTACACCTGTACGAACTAAACGTTATGTATAAATATTTTATACAATCATCTGTTAACATCGATAACAATTATAACTATTATAACAGCTTAATCCTGCTTAACCGTGTATAACGCGCAGCGCGCAAATTGTATATCTTTGTAGTTTATCCTTTATATAATCGGGTATTAACGTTTAATTAACATAAAGATATACACGGTTTGTAAAATCATTAAAATTTTCCTAAAGTTTTACAAGAAAATTTGCATGCTTATGAAAACTTAAATCGATTCATTAAGAGTAGAAATATTTGCTACACTTAAATATTGATTGCTCGGGCGAATGAATGGTTCTCCTGTTGCATGGATCCCTAATTCCCCTCCCTAATGCAGATCTACTCCAGTCGATGTCAGGTGATCCGAGTTGCCATTGGCAACGGATATGTAAGCTGATGTTTGAACATCGAATTTCGCCTTATGCGGTTGAATTCTGTCACCTGTCTACTATATATAACTAAGTTTGCTTGGCGAATAAAGTGAATTATAATTATAATTAATATAAAATGTAATTAAAATTATGCATTTTGCTACAGAATGTTCCATTTTATTTGTTTGTTTGTTTGTTTTTTTAGAATTTTTCTTTAGGGGATTTTTAGGGAGAATTTTTCCTGTTTTTTTCCTTCCCCTTTTTTTATACGATAAGAACCATTTGAATGTTTATATCGATAGTAATTTATTTAAAGAGAACTTTGCGATAATATTTCTATTAAAATCTACAACCTGGAGGAAAAATCGAAGTAATTTTTTTACGATAAAAATTCCNTAAGATGAAAATGCACAGGTTTTTTAAAATAAATTCGGTCCCTTCTTTCTTTCTTTTTATATTTAATATAATTTTTTTTTTCTTCCAGTGGTTAAAAAATTAAAATCTCTATGCGAAGCGGGAATATGAGAAGATGCAAAAGAATCACAGAGAGAGATGAAAGAAGATGCAGAAATGGTTTGCAAATGGGGAAGAAATGAAATCGTGCAATGATTTGACAAGAAAATATGCAGAGAGGTAACAAAGATCTTGTTAAAATAAGGCTATGTAAAAGGCTGAAAGTTTAGTGGAGGGAAAAGGCAAAAAGTATGCTAAGTAATGACGAAAAATATGCAAGAAAGAGGCTAAAATTATGCAAAAAATGGGAATAAACAGGTAAATAGTATGAAGGAGATTCTACAGAAGCGAAATTATGCACAGGAGAGCAAGAAAATTGAGAATAAAATTTTGAAAAGGTGAAATGCATACAAGATGAGGAGGAAAGCACGCAAAAGATAGAAAACGGTGTGCAAAGAAAATTGAAAAAAAGGGTGTATGTTGAAAAGGTGAAAACAGGGAAAAGTAATGCATCTAAAATATAGAAAGCTGTCGAAAAATAATATAAAGTAAAAGAGAATTTAAATAAAATACAAAAAACAATTGCGATGCAGCAGGTATGAATACAGCACCGTCTAATAATATTGATGTCTCCGTACGTACGCGAAGACTATGCTGTTTGGAGTGACCTAGTTACAGTATAACCGGGGACTGCAGCAGTCTAGACACAGAAAACCATATAGATATGCTGCAATCTGAAAAATAACATCGTCGCGTGTTTTACCAGCATATTCCGTGGTGCGGTTGGCTTATATGAACTTTGCTCACGATACAGCGTTTATTGGGAAGAGGAGACATCGCGATAACTCGACCACTTATTACTCTATATATCATCCAATTGGAGCTAGCGTATAGGTAAAAAAAACGAATAGTTACTCACCTAAAGTGTGGATAGTATCCACACATGCCGGATAACCAACATGAATTAGTTTTCATCTTTACTCATATGCTTGCTCGCTCTCTCGACTTTACTACCATCAATCACCACCCAAAAAGGCAGTATAAGGCCACTCTGTGAATGTTGTGCGTTTCATTTACTAAACCATTTGCCAGCGTCAAGGGAAGCATTAGAATATCAGGCAGGTCCAAACATGAGAGAAACCTACGTCTGTGACATGGCAGTCACTCCGTTGTCTGCTACTCTTCTCCGCGGAGCGTACACCCACGCTACGTCATCTGCTAAGTATTTTCTTCTACTGCCTCGTACAATCGGTTGCATTAATTCCTTGTACGAAAATCGGGCATTCGTTTTCGTCAGATAGAGCGGAGGAATATAAACTGAGCCGTTTAAATTACTTCCTCACTCGGACGTCTTTAACCCGGACACACACCCACGTTAAGACACAAAGACACACACACACACACACACTAGGAAAAGTGAAGGAGAAAAAAAATCCCACCTACAGCTTGCCCTCTACCCTCTACATAATCCAACCCACCTTCTGTAGTAATGGAATCACCACTTATCGATCGCTGTGATGTCAGTGTATCGCGGAGGACGAGAGAGAATAACTTGTAAAATATATTTGTGTGTGTATGTGAGAGAGAGTGAGTGTGTGTGGAAGCCGGGGCGAGATGGACAAATTAAAAACGGATTTTTGGGGACATTCCGACTAATTTCAATACCATTCATTTGTATAATTTTAAAACGTTTCGACACGTGTAGCCTACAGTATAAACCGATTTCTCTATATTAAAATAGGTTAAGGAGGGAAACTTTCGATAATTTCTTTAGCACTTTAGTCGGAGACGTTGAAGATAAATCTGATCGGTGGACATTGGCTGGGGGCTGAGATACGACAAGCATACGTTCATCGATTTTCTTAACACCGAAGTCAGCTAAAGGCTGATAGAGGCCAATAACCTAGCACCCATGTCATGTTTTATCCCAACTGTTACGAGAAAGCTTCCCTTTTTAATCCCTTACACACTATTTACTCTTCCTCATTCCCTCACTAATTGCTACACATCCTCTTCCTAGTCTAGACCGATTTATAAGCAAAATTTCATCACAGTAACGAGCGTTTAGTACACTACTGATAACGTTTTTAGTTTTATCCGTTATTAATAAAATAATTGCTATTGTGATAGGTTAAGTATAATTAATTTCTGCTGCCGTAAACGTCTTATCTGTGACAAGTCGATACCGTGAAAGTATTAGAAGTAAAAAATCGAATCAGTGCCGCATCTAGGATCAATAAAATATGGGGCGGAGATGGTCTTGGTAGAGAGATTGTACCAAGCTGGACTAAGGGCTCGCATGCTCCCTCTGATGGAAAGAAATGCGTTTAAAAAACCCTAAAGAGTTATTAATGTTATAACTGTATTCGCGCTCCGGTTATTAATTAAAATACGAAAAACGCCTGTAAAGCTCTCTTCCTTACATTGATAGTAGTAAGGCAGTGAAGCCAACATTACATTTAGCTAATTTTTCCATAAAAAAACATATTTTTCTCTATTGGAATAATTTTTTAAAGTTACTTTCATTAAAATATTTTAAAATATAATTTGTTTTTATTACATTAAATTTAAAAAATAAAATAAATTTTCATAACAACATTTAATTTTTGAATTTTTTTTATTGTTAACCCCATAGAGAATTAACTACATTATTTTCATTAAAAAATTAAAAAAGAAATATATATATATACACAAATTTTAAAGTAATTAATATATGAACAAACTTGTAAACATTTTAAACTAATTATATTTTAAAATATTAAAAAGTTTTATAAAAGTTAAAACTAAATAAATAATTTAATTAATTAATTGAGTTACTAGAAAATAAAAGAGAAAATAATTAATAAAAATAAATAAATATANACGGTTGATTTATATCCTGTAATTTAAAGATTAATAAATAAAAAATATAATTAAATGTTTTTTATTTTAAAATATTTCGATATGACTATATTTCATTTTTCAATAGAAAAACACGTAACATTAAAAAATAAATAAAAATATATATAATATTTAATTGAAAATAATTATAAAAATATAATTATTAAATTATATAATATCTGAATTAAACAAATAAATGAGACAATATCTTGACCATTTGTATTCTGCTCATAACTATGACAGTTGATTAAAATTCAGCATGTCTCATTGCTGTTGCTATCCAGCATTCATACTTGCAAATCTCCTTAAAGCCATTACCTACCAGAAACCATTAGTTGAAATACTTTATACAACAATTAAAATAATAAAAATCTTGTTTAAAGTAAAAATTTTATACCTATAAGTTAATATTCAAAATTTAAAGAAATTAAAATATTAATAATAAGCTTATGCACTTATTTAACTATATAGAGATTAGAGGATCATTTAAATAAATAAATATAAAGGATAATTATGTAAGATTTAATATTAAATCAATTTATTTAGAATTTTTTGACTTTATTATATTTTAAATACTCAACAGATGGAGCCACGGATTTTATGGTCCAATTAATTTTTAATGTGATAATTATGAAGAGAATATTTTTTAAATGATTTTTTTCTTCCATATAAAGTTAATTTATTTAATTATAATTAAAACATATAGAAATGTATTAAAATAATTGATTTTTAGATATTTTATTCTTGTTTTTCTCCTTTAATATTTTGCCTTTCTTTTTCTTTACTTAAACTGTACATTGTTGATGCATTTTTTTTGGAAAAAAGATGATATTTTCATGGAAAAAGCGCTTAAGAGATGAAGAAAATAGAAGAAAGAAAAATATTCAAAATTTTTATAACCTGTTTAATGCTTACATAAAGAATAGCAAAACAATTTTATTCTATTTATCGTCCCTCTACAAAAATATATAATAGAATTTATCATAATCATTCAAAGTATTCCTTTATTGATGTCCATTAAACAACCCCCTTTAAACTTAAATTATATATACATAAAAAATAAAAGTATACATATTTATACAGCTGTGTGATAAAGTAAACTAATTTTCAGGTCTTGAAAGAAATTCTAGACAATCTTAAAATGCACATTTATCATTTTGATAAGTTCTTTAAGACCTCATTTTGAATTTTTCGTGGTATCTACTAAAGTATTTATTATAATATTTAAAAAAAAAATTATGGGGACAAATGCAATTTCTAACAGGAGATCTTCTAATGCTTGTAAAGAGAAATTGCATTTAATTATCATTAAATAAATAATATTATTTTTTTAATATTATAAACCATTTATCAGCTTCTTAATTAAGCTATTTTTTCTAATCTATTAATTGAAATAATTTAGATTAAATTGCTAATTAAACTATGTTAATTTTTTAAAGGTATTATTACAGATATTAGCACAATTGCTTCATAANTAACCTTATCAATATATTAATGTATATTTTATACATTTATAACATATTTACTCTTGAATTTGTTATCAAGTAAGAGCAGAATTTTGTAAGTTTTTTTATAATTTATAATTAAAATTTTATCCATTAATATATATATATATTATATTTTATGTAAACGTATAAAAATATATTAAATACATAATTTTATTGGATAACAAATTGTATCATTTATAAGGGAAGAGAGAGATGAAGAGATGTCAAAAAATCAAATTATAAATTTTCTTACAAGAATTCTAAGCTTATATTTTAAAAAACTAAAATTCTTTTACGCTTCTCCATTTTATTTTTATAACCTTTAACGCCGTTTAATTTTACTCCAACTTAATCCAGTCTCTTCTACCCCTTATTAGCTGTACACTATTTTCAATCTTTCCATCACCTTTACGCCAATTAAAGGAATTTTTATGGATGAAACAACTTACATTTACACATCTAAGTTACTAAAAATAAACTATTTTGTATCTCGTTTCGAGATACAAGCGGTTAGAAAGTTGTTAAACTTGAATCTAGACACATTAACCTCTTCAGAAATTTGCACAAGGTTAAAAAAACTTATATTTCTGAATAAATTCACAGAAAAAAACGAAGAAGGGAGGGGAAAAATATATATATAAAAATAAAAGTCAGCTTCCTCGATTTGGGTGTGTTTCGTTCTCAATAATAATTTCCTTTCGACATCATATTGTAATATTATTTTTTATGATAATAAATTGCCCAATTTGTATCAATTTTTTTAATCGTGTTTTTCTTACATAAAATATAAAAGTTTAATGTTTAAACCGTATAAAAATATTCTATTTATTTATATAATTTTTTAAAATATAATTAAATAAAGGGTTATTATAAAGGCCTTGTGCAACTTTAAACTTTAATAACTTTGGATGTATACATGATAAAAATATAAAGTAAATGCCATATAAAAGCTTATTTTGTATAGTTTTTATGTATTTATGTTTCTCAACTTCTTAATAATTTATTGTAATTTATTTTTAACTGATTGAAAATGGTGACAATGGGGTAAGAAACGTTTAATTGTGTTTTATGGCTCGTAGAGTTGACGTTTACAACAGCTGTGAGGTGCGGTAAAAGTTTAAGAATTAAGCTTTTATACACAGTTTACAGTGTATTTTTATCATGTATATATCGAAAGTTATTAAAGTTTAAAGTTACACAAAGACTTTATAATGAAAACTTTAAAATTTCACTCGGAGAAATTGGGAAATTTTAATGTTTCGGCAGTTTTTCTATGATTTTTTAAATTAAGGTTTTAAAATTAACATTAAATGTTATTTAAATTTAAACTCTTCCAAACACAATAAGATTTTTTAATGAAGATTAAATCAGTCGAAAATCGGGCTTTGGTACAAAAATACACGCTTGAAAATCCACGTAAACATGGTCGAAAGGATGTAAAAATAATATCCAATCATTTTACTTGCATCAATTTTTATTACCGCGAAAAAGTATGATTTAATTTATTTGTAAAATTTCTCTCGAATGGATTTAAAATATGTTTTAAAGTAGAATTTTTAAGAGCGTAAGATCTTTTAAAATATTTATAATATTAATTGTTGACAGGTAAGAGATGGGAGTGTAGAAAGTTCTTTTAAGATTCTTTGTATTTGTACTTTGATTAAAAGCGACACAATGGAGCGCGTGTGCGATGGTGAATGACCTTTTATGCGACCTCGGTTCTTCCTTTGCTGACAAAATCACTTATCTTGTGCAGGCAGAACTGGCACCGAGCCCAGTCGTGTCAGGCTGAATATCAACAGATTAAAATGACAAAAGATGACGAATATTTTTATACTTAGAATATTTTTCGTTCTCGTTAATTTGAAAAAAAAAAAAAAAAAATGTTACGATGTCTATAAACAAACAATCTGGCAACGTTTGATTAATTATTTAAATAATCGTTAAAGTGCCNCTGTACAGGGACCTTCAGAATAGTTACAATGATTTTTGTAAGCGCTCGAATTTTAATTTTATAATAATAATAATAATTTGTCTATAACTTTTAAAATTATCTCAGATGATTGGGATGATGATGATTGTATATAAATTTCTTAAGGGGAATTGTACAGTTTGTTTCCAAAGCGTATAGTCAGTCACCCCAGCAGGGTTGGACTTGGCCTTAAGCTATAAGATATAACAGGCCCTTTCTTTTCGCCAAGTAATCGTACTTGTAAAAATGCGAAGCCCGAAGCTATAGACCAATAACCGAGGCCCTAGTTGTAGCTTAAGAGCAAATTTGGCTCTGAATCCTGGTGTTAGATAAATACTAGAGAACATGGCTTATATCATAAGAATTCAAGTATATAACTTGGAATTTTAGCATTTGAATGTTATTTATATAAAATCGAAGATATTTTTTGATTAAATAAACAGCTATTTTAATTAAAAACACAAAATCATAAATAAAAACAACTATTAAATCAAAGAAATTCATTTTTTACGATTTGATTTATTACATTAAAAAATCAAATAAAATCCATTAAAAATAGTAAAAATTATAAAATAAAAGTGTAAATAATTCTTATTTGATAAGGAGATAAACTCAAAGCTGTAGATGCTTAAAAAATTTCATTAGAAATATTTTAAAACAGATCTTAACAAAATAGTTGAAGAAAATCTTTGCTTATCCTTCCGAAGTAGGGGAAGATGACAAGTAGAGATTGATTAATGCTGCAATAAAAAAGATGTCCTCCTA